CTTTTTTAATCTCTCGCGGGTTTTCCCCTTTCCCATTTGTGACCATGTTCAACCCATGAAGAGCTTTATAAAGCTCTCCATGGACAAAGCTCTACATAGAGGGAAATTTCCCAATATACTTTACACCGCTTCATTTCTCTTTAATTGCTATTAGCAGTAAGCGTCTATAAACACGGCCATGAGGGGAAGTGGAGACGAATGAATTCACTAAGTTCACCTTCACTGAAGTTCCACGTTTTTTTTTTAATACATGAAATATTAAAAAAAAATCAGAAAAATGTGCTAAAACTTTTATTTTATTGCATATTTCGACGATTCAGAGCAGTTTGAAGATTTTTGGACATTCCTCATTTTGTTTAGCTAAAATACGTAAATTATCACACTTTTAATCAAAACTGCATTTACAATTTGATCATTTCAGTCCAACGACAGAAACATCTTCAAAAAAGATGTCCCAAGTGAAAAAGCATTTGTGCTTATTTCCCTGAAGTTGTGGGTTTTCTGATTTGTCTTCGTACAACAAATGCGGCCATTTTAGTCCTATAACTTACTCTCTCCACTCACGTGCGACTTTGACAGCGAAGCCGCAGGGAGTGGTCTGCTTGCCCATCTCGTTGACTGCCCACAGGTGAGAGTTCGGTCCTCCTTTCGTTTGTATGGGTTCCACGCTAAGCTGAGACCAGGTGCGCTGCTGCTCTTTCCTCGTTTGTGACCTCAGTGCTAATAACTTCGTTGCTGCTGTTCCACTGCCAGAGGATGGAGCGCACAGGGGGGAAAACGAAGAGACGGAACAGGTCACGTTGAGGGGCTTGTCGTAGATGAAGAAAGGGTAGTCGGAGATGTCTGGCATACAGGCTTATCTGGAAGAGGGGGAAAGGAAGAGATGATAAAAATAGTCAAGAAATAGATTTTCACAAGTAAGCCAAAACTGGGAGGTGGGAACCTTAGACGACGTTTCGGTCTGCCCTTGACCGTTTAGCAAATCTCAGAATAGTGGGCGAGTTGTGAAATGTTTAATCACTGTCAATGTGACTTTTGTACCGAAGGGAAAAATTTTGGTTAGAAAACCCGAAGGTGCCTCATACTCACACGCGTATAGCTACAAGTAAAACCACCACAACGTAAACTGAATGATTTTTTCGTGCATTTACGCATATATCGTCAGAAGATGGTCTATAAATGTGAGCTCGTGAAATCGCCAAGACTTTCCGTTTTTATTTATCACGATTAAAAAAATAGGATTCTTGCCCTAACTCACCTGTAAGCAAACATTTACGTAAACATTCCCAGCAATCATACACACCCCACACATACACACACACACACACACACACACACACACACACATACACACACCCCACACACACACACCACATACACACACACACACACACTGTTTCCCATGTCCTTAGAACTATTCAGGTTATCTATAAGAGGGTTATTATAACAAAAGAGGGAATCTACTATATATGATTATAATCAAGGAGCCTCTCGATGATGCAAATTAAAGGGAGATAACGTAAGGTGACGAGGGATCAGCTGGTTCTTGTCAAAAATGCATGGATAAGCTTTATTCTGTGAAGAATTCGTTAGTGAAAAGATATCGAACACACTTGACACAACATACACCTGTCAACACCTGACACTACAGCCTGACACCCCTACATGTCTGATACTACACACCTGACACACTTACACTTGACCTGAGGGTGACCCGGGCTGTGGTTGTGGTGGTGATGGTGTTGGTGGCGGCACAAGTGTACTGTCCTGCCTTACGCCGCCCTACCTTCTGTGCACCAGAGATTCCCCCGAAAGGATCACCCCATGGTCACGTTCTGAACCTGGGGCCCTCCCCTTTTAGCAGTGTGGGAGTGAAATGAATTCTGTTGCAAAGGGGAGTACAGGGTGGTGGTCTGGGAGACATAAGTTTTATGGGTGTGTGGGCTCGAAGGAAAAGGTAGGTGGAGAGGCGTATTTTTTTGGCGGTGTAGTAAAAACAATGGATCTTGTGGGAATTGGGGGAAAAGACAGACATTTTTTATTTTGAGAGTGAGGAGAGTATAGTGAAAGTGTGTGTGGGAAGAGAGGGGAGAGAGGGTTCTCTAAGGATTTAAAGGAATGAGAACGTAATTTGGGTTGAGGAAGAATATTGTGTTCAGTGAGAAGAGATCACAGTTTTATGGGAGTCATGGAAAAACGTTGAGAGAACTTAGGAAATTTATTACAAAGACTACAGTTGTATATGAGGCAAATATAAATTAATTTAATATTTTTTTATGAATAGCGAAAGGTTTGTTAGATATGCAAAAGAGAGATTAGCAATTTTCCAGGATGTCAAGAATCATCACCACGAAATTAACACGTATAATACTTCAGTTTTATTTAGTACAAAGCACAAATACAAGCGTGAAAATTCTTGAGTCTGTTATGATTGCTTCAAGATACAGTTTCAACACCTAACACAATAACAGTATAAATATGAGGAAGTAATTATGCTTGTCTTGAAGTCGTTTAGTCTTTTCTTCCATCATGTAATCTTGGCTTTCAGACTTACCTTCTGAACCTGACTTACATCACACGATTTAGGCCAGATGGTTTGTCAAAAAGTTTCAGTATTCCTTTTACGTTTTTTAAGCTTCTAAAGAGGACCTCGATTATAAGTCGAAATATACAGATCTCGTAATTTTTAATTCTCTGTGAGGCTTCACTTAAACTAACCTTTGTTTATCACACATTCGTAAATATATATATATATATATTATATATATATATATATATATATATATATATATATATATAAATATATATATATGTCGTGCCGAATAGGCAGAACTTGCGATCTTGGCTTAAATAGCAACGTTCATCTTGCCATATAGGACAAGTGAAAATTTGTGTATGCAATAATTTCGCCAAAATCATTCTGACTTAACGAAAAAAATATGTTTGATTGTGTTTGTTTAGTACTAAATTATTGTAAACGTATTTAAAATATATTTAGTTGGGTTAGGCTAAAATAAATTGTTCTTGTTATAATAAGGTTAGGTAAGTTTTCTAAGATTCTTTTAGTGCAAAATTAAAAATTTTTACATTAACATTAATGAAAAAATATATCTTTAAACGTATAAGATAAAAATTTCAGAAAGGACTTAATTTTAAATGAGTTCTTGCTAATTGACCAGTTTTACATATTCGGCACGACATATATATATATATATATATATATATATATATATATATATATATATTATATATATATATATATATATATATATATAACCAGCCTCCAGGAAAGCGAGGTATATTTCACGACTCCTTAGTCAACTATACAGCCATGCTACCAAACATATAAATATTTAGAGAGAGAGAGAGAGAGAGAGAGAGATTAAGTAATAAATATATATCTAATATTTTGTGAATTACATTAACTACAAACATGTTCCTATATCAGCGAAAAATTCTAGGAAATTTAAAAGGAAAAAAGCTGGTGAGTGCGAATGATACATCCAGCGACTGGGTCCCCCCCCCCCCAGGTGCAGGTGATGGATGATGGTGTATTGTCGCAACGGCCACATTTTCCCTCCAACACATATTGTTTATAAAACCGGAAAAGCAATATACTGAATATATGGTCGGGAAAAAAAAAAGAATTTATCTTTCGATAGTGACATCTGTGAGGCTTCGACGTGGTCTACACACTATTTGTCTCTGACTT